ATCACGTGGGAGTTGCAGACAGGGGAGGGTGTGACCATCGAGATCCCTCCTGATGACAAATGGGAGTCCATGGGAAAGGTGAAGCTGGAAGGTAAGGTGGAATCTGACAAGTACCTAGTGGCAGGTTGGAGAAGGCTAGGTGAGCAACCTCTCCCCACGTTTACCACCTCACGGCCACGACAGCATCCAGGGAGAAGGCCGGCGGGGCTGGACATGTTGACGGCGGCAGAAAAAAAACACAGTGGGAGGAGGACAAGTTCAGGTTCCCTCCTTACCAATACCAGACCTGCCATCAGGTCGGGAGAGAGGATGTGCACCGCTTGGTCAATGCCGAAGAGCGCGAGGTGATTCTTCGCTTTCCCAGGCATTACACAGTCAACTGCCTGCCTAAGTCCAAGCAAGGTTCTACGGAGCACCAAGACCTCAGGTTGACGCTGCTGGGCAACTCCTGGAACGTCACTGTGATCACATGGCTCCTCAGTCAATTGGGAGCGTGGCTGGGAGTAAGTCCTCAGCTGACGGTCCAGCACTGCATCGAACGGACGTCGCCAGGAGCCAACACGGATTTTGCCACTTTCCTTACCAGACAGCCGATGAACGGGCCGAGGAAAGCTCTCATTCAGGGAGGTAGCGATCTCCTCGTTAAGAAACTGCTCAACTTGGTCAGTATCAAAGGAGAGGACATTCTGGTGAATTCTGCTTCAGAAGAACACTGAAGTATCACAGACTCAGAGCCAGTATTCCTGCAAATTTGTGGAAGTGGTCCACAGTGTGCGGATGGAAATGGAGAGGCCATAAGGAGCACATCAATGTGCTGGAACTAAGGGCCGTGCTATGTGCCATGCGTTATCGTACCACCAAGCAACGAGTCAGAGACCAGAAGATCATACATCTAACTGACTCACTAGTGTGTCTCCATACCCTCACTAGGGGCCGCACCAGCAGCAAGAAACTGCGAAGAACCCTAGCACGTATCAATGCCTTACTCCTCCTCACCCGAAACACGGCAGTGTGGACATATGCTCACACTGCCCTGAACCCTGCTGATGCCCCTTCAAGGGGACGTATCAAACGGAAATGGGGAAGAAAGTAAAGCAACATGTGGAAGGGAGGAGTAAGGCAGAGCGGAAAACAATACGTGCCAACCTGGGTCCCCTTAAGGGGTTGACAGTGCAGCCCAAAACGAAAGATCGCTACAACAAAGCTGTCCAAAAGTTCCTGAGCTGGACCAACAATCATGGAGTTACACTTCCGCAACAGCGCTGCGAGATGGACCACATCCTTGCCGACTACCTTGAATACATGTGGACTGAGGGAGAGGGGAGGAGCCTAGCCGCTGACACGGTAGCGGGACTACAAGATCGAGACCCTCACTTGAAAGGACATCTCGTCATTAGTTGGCGCCTGTTAAAGACTTGGGCTTCCCATGAAATCCCCTGTCGGGCACCTCCGCTCACAGAGGAGGCGCTGCATACCCTTGTCGGTCATACACTATTTCACAGCCGTGCGACTTTTGCTCTCTCCCTTCTCCTAGGGTTTCATGGGCTCCTTCGAACTGGGGAGCTTCTTGAACTTAAAGGCAAGGATGTCTCGCAATCTAGCTCTACTTCTGTTGCAGTGATATCCCTGGGATTGACCAAGGGCGGACAACGAACAGGAGCCGCAGAAAGTGTGACTATCACTGAAGCCGACACGCTACGGCGCTTGTGGCAATGGAAACAGGCGATTAGTCCAGGCACCAAGTTGTGTGATGCACCACACAAATGGAGGAAGATGTTTCAAACTACGGTTGAAGCTCTGGGCTTGGAGCAGTATCAGTATAGACCTTATAGCTTAAGGCGAGGTGGAGCCACTTTTTATTTTCAGCGTCACGGCCAGCTGGATAGGCTCCTCCTTCAAGGGAGGTGGCAGTCCAGTAGAACAGCACGTCTGTATATAAATAGTGGATTAGCTATCCTGGCCGAGACTGAATTGAACTTGGCCCCTCATGCACGCATGTTTCACAAACAATTTTTACGTACAAAGTCATTACCCTTGCCTCAACTTGAGCATGCCATACATGGCAGGGCAGGGGGAAGTGGGAGAACAAACTCCAAAGAGAAAGAACAAGGGAAATATGGAGTTTGGGGTAGGCGGGCTGGTTGTTCCCCGGTTTGGCGGGGCCCAGCACTACCCGCGTTCTTTGGCTCATGTTTACCTCGGGTAGGCGAGGAAGCATGGGGGGAACGCCTATGTTGATTTTATGAATGGCTGTTTGGTTGAATGGGAGTCTGAATTCTTCTTTGTGAGAAGAACAAGTTTGGTGATGTAATTATTTTATTTGCCTCTGTGAGGTTTTTTGACCCAACAGGTCTTGCTGTGCACAAAAAAGGCGGGAAACCGGTGAGTCTTTGAATGAACGACCCCGGATGTAAAGACGAATAGGTTGATCATCCCCTTTTTTCGGTAGTTTCGGCTTCAGCTCCCACAGCCACCCACCCTCCTGTTTGAAGAGGGAGAACAAACTCCAAAGAGAAAGAACAAGGGAAATACGGAGTTTGGGGTAGGCGGGCTGGTTGTTCCCCGGTTTGGCGGGGCCCAGCACTACCCGCGTTCTTTGGCTCATGTTTACCTCGGGTAGGCGAGGAAGCATGGGGGGAACGCCTATGTTGATTTTATGAATGGCTGTTTGGTTGAATGGGAGTCTGAGTTCTTCTTTGTGAGAAGAACAAGTTTGGTGATGTAATTATTTTATTTGCCTCTGTGAGGTTTTTTGACCTAACAGGTCTTGCTGTGCACAAAAAAGGCGGGAAACCGGTGAGTCTTTATATATATATATAGACAGCTCATATAAATTTAAGCATACACACCATATACATGTATTATACATACACACATGCCAATGTTACAAGCGTTTTCCCTATCAGCAGGGTTAACCCTCCCGAGCCACACCAGTCAGCCCAGGAACTTCAGTGGTTTGTTCCTCACCAATGTCACTTGGCTGTGATGGCTGGATGGTCCCATTCCCCTGTTGGTTGATGATTATGGGGAATTATACTGTATACTACCCAAAATATTGGGGATTATCAAAATCCATGATGGGAATCCCTAGTAACTTGCAAGGTGGTGGGGACCCTTGGGGTTCAAAACTCTTGGTAGCCGAAACTAGTCCAAGTGTCGAGTCACTGGAATTGTGGTCATTGTTTTTCCACGCGTTTTACCTTTGGCAAAAATCCATGAAACATGCAGAGCAGGGGCCAGGGGATTTGGCTCATCTTTGAGACAGGATTGAGGCAAATCCGACATGCACGATGAAGGGGTTGCCGGGCTGCCTGTGGGACCATACAATGTCATCCAGACATGTTTAAAGATGTAGGTGTAGGGTTCACCCCAGATAGAAAGGGGCACAAGCCAAGGCTATAAACCACCCGCCGCTGAGGTTTACTACTGGTCAACCAATCAGGTCATCGTTCAGCGAGCCTTGGCCGCTCGTAGTCTAGCGGATGGTCAGAAGGGCGTTCTCTTCGCGGCATCGATGTGACTGGGACGCAAAGGCCAAGGGGTCACTCGGAAATGGAGGGATTTATGATATTGCACTTACATGTGAAAAATGAAGATTCAAGGGGCATGTACTGGGGTACAATGAGGTTTGTAATTAACCAGGATTATGGGTCCGTCTTAACCAATGTGATAGTTCGAAACTACATTGAAACATGATGATAAACATGCGATTTTGAGATTACAAATTTTGAAAGGGCCGCATGTGCCTTGGAAAATGTGATTGGAACTTGGAACTTCACCGCGACCTCGGTGACCTCAGTGGAATCAGCCCGTAGTGGACTTGTTACTGTTTATTTCTGGAGTGAAGCATGTATATATATATATATATAAGATTATAAAAGTGATTTGCCCAGATGTATACGCCATGGCCAAACATTGAAATGGGGGTCAATGAGTTTGAACCACATTCGATTGGCTATGGGTCAAAACTCACGACCCCGAAATTGGATAAGATACAACGAACATGATGTTGGCATAGAGATGCATAGAGTGGTATAGATTTTCTGGACACATTTTTTGGGACGAGAATAGAACTGGTGCTCTTGAGTACCCCTGCCGGTGCAGATGTTGTTCTTGACAGGTTGCCATGGCAATGCCACCCTTGGGTGCGGGCCTAGTGGGGTTTTACCCGTTTCTAAGTTTCTACTTGGTTCGCTCTTGAGCGTGTTTGACCCCAACCTAGATCCCCAATTTGGCTGTGTTGAAAATCCTGCCAGCTTAAGACTAAGAGGAGTGATAATGCCAGTTTCACGATGGTTTATGTGTAAAAATGTATGCATACCGCAGCTTTCTTGCTTCCCTCAACCACCCTCCCTTTCTTTGGGGGCAGGTTGGGGGTGACTTGCTATGGGTGTGTGTCTAGTGGGGTTTTACACGTATTCTGGTTGGTTCGCAAGTTGATCCCCAACTTGGCTGCGTTGAAAATCATGCCAACTTGAAAAAATTACAATTCTACTCCCCAAACAGTGTATCCACACTGAGGGGTTCTTACGGTAGGTGTTAAGGCCCGGTGTTCAATCCAGGTTGTAATTGTATCCGAAGCGTCCGGCATTTTCCTGTTGCGGTTTGGGAAACATGCGCAGAGTACCACTGCACCCCCACTAAGGTCTTTTTTAAAAAGTTTTCACAGTCGTTGAGACGTCCTCCGACTGTTGCAATTTGGCTCAAGGGCCAATCAACTGACTGGCTCAATTTACCGAGCCCAACTTGGAGTGAAAAAGTGCACTTGCATCTGCCTCTTGGTGGGGACCTCCGGGAAGGGTCTCGGTCATAGTCTGAAACCCGTGGGTTATGAGCCCAACCCCAACGCTGCCTTGAAGCAATGTCGAGCAGCGACTTCACTCAGCGTCGTCGACAAGAACGCCAAGTTCAAGCGGCTGCTCATGCTGAAGAAGTACAACATGGGACCCATGGACATGGAAAAGAAGAACGCGCGGAAACGGCAGACCAAATGCTGGACCGGCTTCTGGAGGAGATGGACGCACCTGGACAAGCGCATGGGGAAAGAACAGGGACAAGATCATCAGACTCAGCCCGAAGATCACTGATGGAAGGGGAAGTTGGAGAAAGTGTGATGGCACTGACCGGTGCTGGGGGAGTGGAGCCCTAGTGCAGGTTGCGGCGGTCCGGGCTGGAGCGGGCGAACGAATCGCCCAGAATCCGGCTGTTGCGGAAGAAGTCGCAAGACCAGTGTCCTTACCACCTGAAGAACCTCCTGGACTTGAAGTGGTACGAGGAAATGGGAGTGGCGGTCTGTTGTCTGGTTTGACCCCAGGTGTGAATAGTCTAACTCTTTCGGGAGTGCCTATGACACAAACACCAGTAGTTGCCCGGATGTCTGAGGGATTTCGTGAACCACCTGTTGTGGGTAATCGAGAAGAAGGACAGGGTGGAAAACACCAAAGCTCAACTGAAGTGGGTGGAGGTGCGGCTGCTGTTGTGGAAACCGTTGCTCTTTTGGAGCGACCGGGACGTTCACCTGTTGAGTCTCCTGAAGATGCACGCGTCAAACAATCGGTGCCAGCGGCACCAACAGGCTCACCTGTGATCTACCAGCCAGCGGGAGCACCTGTGGTGTATACCGCAACTGGTGGAACACAGGGTTCGCAAGTAGCTGGGATGTCCCAGCAATCCATGTGTGCTGGAGTGCCACCTACGGGAATGGTGCCTCAGTGGGGAACGGCGGTTGTGGATCCTGGGATTGTAACCGGGGTCATGGCTGCAGAGGAAACGAATCCATGGAGTGCTGCCAAGCGAGTGGAAGCTCTAATGAGCAGTCCACAAACTCCAGTGAAAGAGCTGACTTATCCCATAGTGTCGCAAGACCTGATTGATCAGGCGGACGCGAGGGAGAAGGAAAAGTATGAGGAGTTGAAACAGCAAATGATGGAATTCTTTCAACGGGGCAAGACCGAGATCCAACAAGATCGAGAAAATTGGTTAGCCACGCGGGAAGAGAAACGTGCCCTGGAACGGGTCCGAGAAGCCGGAGGAGGTCACAAGGGCTCTCAGTCAAGTGGGGGGTCTTATCAAACCGCCTCGCCGGAGCTGAAGAATGTCGAGCAGGGTTTTCCTGTGGGGCCACCTCAAGGTGTTCCACCCCAGGTACAACATGTGCAAGATCAACCAGTTCCAGGAGTTCAACATCACCATGATCAAGATCTTCAAATGCAGGCGGGAGGTCAGTTGTGGAATGTTCCTCCTGCGCCCAAGGTCGAACAAGGTTTTCGGCCGATGGATGTGTATATGAATCAAGGGTGGCTAATTGGAATACCACCGGGAGGTATGCCGCAGAGAGCGGCGTCAAGACCACCGATGGGAGTTCCTTGCATGGGAGCCACGGAAAACACAAAACACTTTTTCATCGGTGACCAACCTAATCAATGGTATAATCCTCAAGTCCATGTTGGAGGAGCACCTGCAGGACAAGATCATCGACCTCAAGGGGTTTTTGCATTTCCGGGAGGAAACACCGGACCTATGGGTGGTTATGGTTGGCCAGGGGGTCCACCGCCAGGGCAGTATGGAAATCCCGGACAAGCACCTGGTCCGCCAGGTGGTCATCAGGGAAATCCCGGTCTCCCAGGTGGTCATCAAGGAAATCCAGGACAAGCTGCACCGCCACAACAACAACAAGCTGTAGTCCAAGCAGGACCTCAGGCAGGGGGAGAAGTACCAGGCGAAACGCTAAGATCGGTCGAATTGCCGAAGCTGGACAGGAATGCAACATCTTTGGACTTTGGAGACTGGCTGACAGTTGCCCAACAGATGATTGGGGATGTGAGCTACACCTCAGAGCAATGGTGGGAAGTAGTGATGACTGCTGTTGAACAAGCATACCACCACTGGTTGCAAGCGGATCCACTCATGAGGCTCCGGATGGCGCCTGTGATACCTGACATGGCCCGTAGGTGGCCTCGCACAGAGAAACGGGTGGTGGGTATGCTGCTTCAAGCCGTCCCCAAGGACATCTACGAGGACCTTGTGGCGAACAGACACATGTCAGCGGGTCAAGTCATGTTCAAGCTGTACACCGTCTTCCAACCTGGGGGACAAGTGGAAAGAACTGCCCTGCTGCAAATGTTGGTGGACTGGAAATGTCCATCTAATAATGCTGCAGAGATGGTCAACTCCATCCGGAAGTGGAGAAGATGGGTGGTTCGTGCCGAAGAACTTCAATTGGTTTTGCCCGATCCTCTGGTTTTGGCCGGAGTGGTCGCAAAAATGAGTGATGCCTTGGCCAGATTGGGGGGAGCTCAAGCTGCCTACCGGTTGTCTTCGGTGAGACAGCATTTGGGCATAGATCTCCGGCCGGGAATGCAAGAGATCAGAACGTTTTCTGAACTTCTTCAAGCTGAAGCTGGTGAAATGGCTCTCCGTCAACCGGGGAACATAACACAGGGCCCAGCGGCTAAACCCAATAATGTGGTAGGGGTGAAGTCAATGAGTGGGCCGGATTCATCTGGAAACCCACCAAAGGGCGCTTCAAAGGGAAAACCAGAAGACGCAGCAGGTTCTTCCACCGGAAGGAGGGGAGAAAAGCCCGAGCTGCCGATTAACGCGGCTAATGTGGTCCACAAGACTGCGTGCATCAACTGGCTGACAGATAAGGGATGCCAATATGCTGACCGGTGCCGATTCACGCACACTGTCCTGGACTCCAAAGATGGCCGATGTTTCAACTGTTCTGGAAGGGGACACTCCCGACGTGATTGTCCGGCGGGAAAACGAAGTGAGTCACGAGGTCCACAAGGTGGATCCGAGGAACCAAAGGTGGCCAAAACCACAAGAATCCGCTCAAGATCTCAAGAGAGGAAAAATGGTCCTGGAAAAGAGGGAGGTGCTGCTCAAGAACATTCTGAACCTACCGTGAAGATCAATCCGATGAAGGAGTCCACGGTCACTATAACCCCTGTACCAGAGGAGGCCAACAAGGTTGTGGGAGAAGTGACCAACCTTTTGAAGGGTCTCAATGGACCGGTCTTGAAATCGGTGGGGCATGGTGGGGATCATCTCGAAGTTGAATTTGATGATGGAACAGGTTTATTGGATGGTGGGGCGACACACCCCTTGAGACAGGGATCAACCGAGGAGATCAAGAACGCGGTGCAGGTCACTGTGGAACTCGCACATGGAGCTGCTCAGCTCTATCAAAATCCTGTGAATGGAACCCTCTTGTCGGAGGGACCGGTGGAACCAATTGTACCTCTTCGAGGTTTGGTGGAATTGGGATACACCATCACTTGGTCCCGTGCAGGATGTGTTGTGAAACATCCACGACTGGGAAACATAGAATGTTGGTTAAGGTCTGGGTGTCCAGTGGTTGGCTCTGATCACTGAGATTGAGCACATGGAAATGGAAAAGAGGACCAACCATCGGCTCACCTTGGAAGAGCCCACGGAGAAGACCAAGAAGTGGTGGGGATCACGATTTCCGGAAACACCGGACAGAATTTGGAATTACATGCGGGGTCAAGATAA